TGACAGTGATGTGTGGACTGTGACAGTGATGTGTAGACTGTGACAGTGATGTGTGGACTGTGACAGTGATGTGTAGACTGTGACAGTGATGTGTAGACTGATACATTGATGTGTGGACTGTGACAGTGATGTGTGGACTGTGACAGTGATGTGTAGACTGTACAGTGATGTGTGGACTTTGACAGTGATGTGTGGACTGTGACAGTGATGTGTAGACTGCGACAGTGATGTGTAGACTGTGACAGTGATGTGTGGACTGTGACAGTGATGTGTAGACTGTGACAGTGATGTGTGGACTGTGACAGTGATGTGTACACTGTGACAGTGATGTGTAGACTGTGACATTGATGTGTGGACTGTGACAGTGATGTTTGGACTGTGACAGTGATGTGTACACTGTGATGTGTACACTGTGACAGTGATGTGTAGACTGTGATGTGTAGACTGTGACAGTGACTGTGTAGACTGACAGTGATGTGTAGACTGTGACAGTGATGTTTGGATCACAGCGGTGATATGAAACTGTAAAGTTGGTATGTAAATGTAACTGTATGTTACCTACTTTCTGCGAGTGCAAAAACTTTCCAATCGGTGAACGACAGTCTTTTTGTCCATGTAAACATCAAGTACGAAACCTTAACGTACTTGAATTAATCCACCCTAACTCTATGATTATGTTACACCTTGGTAACTTCACGGGTGAAGGACGATAAGACCCCCGCTACCTACAATACTTAACCATGATACTCTTGGTTGGTTTTCTAAACAAACCAGTTGCAAGGTACGGAGAGGCTGGGGGTTCACGTGGTTGTTGTTAACAGGGTGAAATCAAATGTTAGTTGGTTTTTACAAGCTTTTTTTTAACTTGCTTTCTCTGTCTGTCTGTCTGTCTGGTCTGTCTGGTCTGTCTGGTCTGTCTGGTCTGTCTGGTCTGTCTGGTCTGTCTGGTCTGTCTGGTCTGTCTGGTCTGTCTGGTCTGTCTGGTCTGTCTGGTCTGTCTGGTCTGTCTGGTCTGTCTGGTCTGTCTGGTCTGTCTGGTCTGTCTGGTCTGTCTGGTCTATCTGGCTGCCTGTCTGTCTGTCTGTCTGTCTGCCTGCCTGCCTGCCTGTCTGTCTGTCTGTCTGTCTGGATCAGTTTCTTCCAGGCATCTCTTCAGATGGGGAGGGGGGGGGAGTGTCGCTATATTATCTATTGGTTACCTTTACTAATATTAGGAAAAGACCCACGCTTTTATTTATAGATATTTAAATAGTAGTGTATTATTACTTATTTTAAAGAAAATCATTTATTTTCTACTTTGTGTGCATTATTACATAAAAGCTTGTTATTAAAACAGTTTTTCTATTTGTTTTATTATTATGTTACAATGGTTGCTAAGTCTGTGTATGAAATAGTTGTCATTTACTTGTCTTGTATACATTGAGATCTATTGTTTTTTTATTTTGTCTGCATATTTGACCCTACAGACAGCGTTATTCGCAAATATTGTGCCGGGTTTATAATATAAAATTTGAAAATATAATCTTATTACAAAATAAAGCCGATAGTAAAGTAAAGATTCCTCTCTAGATCCATTGGGCAGATGAAGTGGAGGTCATATGTTTCTTTACCTCGGCATATAAAGGGATAATGTGGTCAGCACTATGCCCAGCCGCCTTTACTTTCCCTAACGTGAGTCAGGTACCCATCAGAGTTGGGTCTACTCAGGGACGTTCCACTAACTTGAACCAGGATTCGAACTCGAAACTAGCGGGTAAGCAATCTAGCGCTCCACCGCAAGGCCACGCCGTCCCACAAAGGCGATAGTGAATAGGTGAAAAGAAAAATTGTTGACGTTTAGATTTAAAAAATCGATAAGAAATATTTAAAACATGTAAATTATTTTAATGTATTATTGTGAGGGCGATCGGAATTTTGTATGACAAGGTATATGAACACACCAACAAAACTCTTTGCAGTTAGGTAATACAAGATGTTTTAAACATTAATCCTATTGCTTTCTCATCCTCCACAAACATCAACCGTCACTTCCCACCCCAACCTACACACATCTTTTCTCTTGCTCACAACACAACCGCTGTCACTCGACCAGTCGCTTCTCTTGTACCCTCGTTCACTCCATACAACAACATACACGTCAACACACGGTCTCGCATCTCGCGACAGGATAAATTTATTTATTGTATTCATTTATTCAATTACGGTCACAATAGTACCCACGGAGGCCTTTTTTCACATTGGTCGATTTAAAATAAACAAATAAAACAACAATTTAATAACAGCATTTAAAAAAGCAATAGCATAGTAACGACATAGCAGTAACATAGCACTAAAAATGTGGAATAAAGAAATAATATTCCATAAAATAAGAATATAATAGATGAATGAGAAATGTTTCACTGAGTCAGTTAGAGAGGTCATTAAATAATTGTTGTTTTAGCTTAGATTTGAATATATTTTCAGATCTAGATAGTTTTATTTTGTTAGGAAGATTGTTCCACAAATTAGAACCAGAGTAGACAAAGCTATGTTTTTGGTAAAAAGTTGTATATGGGATCGGTAAATTAAGACGACGATTTAATATTGTGTTAAAAGAAAATAGGTCTGATAAGTAAGAGGGGACTGTTTTGTGGAATATTTTATATGAAAAAATTGCTTTAGTATATATAATCTTTTTATTTAATGGAAGTATATTAGTTGTAATAATACACCTTTCATACACATTATATCACCACAATTATATTAATGGACGTATTTTGTTCTATATAGAGATCTGCATTTTACCGCAACCCCTCCCTCTATCGTTCGCTAAACTACATCGCGGTATTCTATCCACTTAGCTTACACAATAATATACGTCGGCATGTGTTTCATATACGTGATTATACAGTTTATAAATAGAATGACTAAATGTAGGCCAGTGTTAAACGCGTGAATAAAACACTGAGTAAAGCTATCAACATCAACGAATCTTAAACTCTTTATCGACATTAACGTATCCTAAAGAATTTATCGACATCAACGTATCCTAAAGAATTTATCGACATCAACGTATCCTAAACACTTTATCAACATCAACGTATCCTAAAGAATTTATCGACATCAACGTATCCTAAACACTTTATCAACATCAACGTATCCTAAACACTTTATCAACATCAACGTATCCTAAAGAATTTATCGACATCAACGTATCCTAAACACTTTATCAACATCAACGTATCCTAAAGAATTTATCGACATCAACGTATCCTAAAGAATTTATCGACATCAACGTATCCTAAAGAATTTATCGACATCAACGTATCCTAAAGAATTTATCGACATCAACGTATCCTAGACACTTTATCGACATTAACGTATCCTAAAGAATTTATCGACATCAACGTATCCTAAACACTTTATCAACATCAACGTATCCTAAAGAATTTATCGACATCAACGTATCCTAAACAATTTATCGACATCAACGTATCCTAAAGAATTTATCGACATCAACGTATCCTAAAGAATTTATCGACATCAACGTATCCTAGACACTTTATCGACATTAACGTATCCTAAAGAATTTATCGACATCAACGTATCCTAAACACTTTATCAACATCAACGTATCCTAAACACTTGAACACAATCGAGTCTATTTTCACGGTCCAGCGATGCTCTAGACTCTAGGCAAAGTAGGACGGTCGTCTCATCAAGTCTTTTATCTACCTCGACATTTGTGTTTTCCCTGCATGGGTGATTTTTTTTAAAGCGACCCACGCTGAAATCTACAATCAAATGTTGATCTACATATTTTTTGAATGAGTTTTTTTTTTATAACTTGCAACACATCAAGTTGACTATTTATTAATTTTAGATTTCGACGTATGTATGTGTTACATTTTGAAAAATAATACTATGATTATTACAGTGTTTCTTCCAGACTTTCTTCTCATGGGGGGGGGGGGGGGGGTGGCACTAGAAATTCCCGGGAGGAGGACTACATTTTCCGGGGGGAAAGGGCGAGTACTGGTAAAAGTGTAGACTTTCTTCGGGGGGTTGAATCACATCGTGAAAAAGTTTTAAATATTAGAAAAAATCGTCTGAGATATTATTAAAATGTTGTCTTGTTATGCTCGAAACAGGATATCTCGATTTGTGGCAAATCTATCCCCATCTTCTCTGTAGAATCTCTTTGTTAGCTGGTAATCGGTGTAAACTACTTAGACAAAGGTATATGACAAATCAGTTTTATTTATAGAACAACTACATTCGACCAATGGATTGTCGTGACGTCAGTGTCTTACCCGATAGAACAAATGAAGTACCTGTCTCAAATCCCTGGATGGCGATTGGTTGTTGTGGGAGACAGGAAGACGCCGTTAAACGGGAGGTGAGGCAAATTTAATTTTCTAAGTATACTTTCTTTTTTTTTTATGCCTCACACACGTAACTTACAGCCTCAGTTTGCCTTGTCAAGTTCGCTTTAGTATTACAGTTTTCATCATCGGCTTGTGAGGACTGATACAGATTTACAATAGTATTAGTTCTTTCTGACAAGTACTTTCATTCATTGAAGATGGTTTAATTATACTTAATACAAAACGTCTTCTTTCCCCTTTTTTTTTAACCAGAAAATGTAAATGTGTAATTAAATAGCGATTCAATTTTCTGTGGAGAGAAGAAAAAAAACGTAAAATACATACATACATATATATATACATACAAATATATATATATATATATATATATATATATATATATATATATATATATATATATATATATATATATATATATATATATATATATATATATATATATATATATATATATATATTTAAAGACCAATTAAAAAATTATCTCACTACATAAATAACTTTTTATTAAACGCATTCACTTTTTGTGCATTTTTTATGATTCTTTAATTATTTCCTAATCAACAAACACTTTTAATTTTGTAGCTTGGAAGTAGCTTGGACACGCTCACAATCCATTGAACAGAAAACCCTGACATGGATGCTATTTTTAGATTGTCGAGGAAATCCCCGTCCGCCATTTTAAATGTGACCTTTGACCCACTAGCCCCGCCTGTGATTTTACCCGAGGGTGTGTTCAGCCCCTTCAACTCACAAAACACCCTGTTCCACCACGCCGCCTTCTGGGCTCTGTTTATCCCGACCACAACCACATTCCGTGTCTGCGACATCTGGCGCGGCTACTGGGCCCAGAGGCTCATGTGGGAGGTTGGAGGCAGGCTGGCATTTTTCCCGGCCAACGCCTTTCAGAAACGTAATTCACATTCGTACCTTAAAGATGCTGAGCAAGAGAAGGACATGTGTTTCCGCACAGAAGAGTTACTTCAGTTTTTGAGAACCTGGGTCTGTGAGAAATGTTTTTCTTTCTTTCAGTGTGTGATAAAGGTGACCTCAGACAGGGTTAAGCGTCACTTTTCGAAACATTATGACGTCATGCTGGTCAGACAGTGGCATAGGACCTCAAACATTTGGGCAACACATAACCCAAACCAGTAAACTTTGACATGATTTCGTCAAATATTGACGTTTTAAGACTTCCAGAAAAAAAGTGGAAGGCGTCATTTTAAAGCGCAGCGTTGTAGAGAAACCTTTAGTAATGTAGAGTATTCAGCTCCTGAGGAGCATCCGCTACCGTTACTTCCGAATTCAACTGATATTAGCAGGTTACTTGTTAACGCGAAAAAAAAATGAAATGTTATCAATGTGTGAAGATTTGAAGAACATCTCAATGTCTGGCGTATTTTAGCGAAATGAAAAACGCATCATTTGTTTCGGATAATAATACCAAGTTTCATGAGGAGACTGGGGATTAAGGCTAGAACGTTAACTTTTATCGAAGCTGATCTCGAGAAAGGTAAACTTTATTACCTGTGTGCTGTTAAAGCAATGGAGATGGGGCACACGGCCAAATGTTATTTCGGAGACATTTTTTTTCTGACACATTAATGATATAATGTTTGTTTCATGGTACGGTGAAATGTATATGTGCTTAGTAATAACCAATTTTATGTGTTGATGTTAGTGTAGGCCTACACATATTGTGTGCGCATCCTGAGTTGTGTTGTGTACCCTATTTGATGAGCAAAACTTAATAAAAAAATAAAGTATTTTAAGCTCTCTTTTCAATACAATAATTTATTAAACGATGTTTACGTTTGCTAGTGCAAATAATGTATTTAGTAATAGGGTTTTTAATCTAAATAAGTATATAATATATAGGCCTTCAAAACGGGTTCAATTTTAATAACTCTTCAATATCGGTTCTTGAAAAAAAGAAATAAAATCTTTTTCAAACTTAATAAAATATAGTTTGTGTATTTAATGTATTCTGTCGTGTATTTTGTCCTATCCTCTTTTCCTAATTTCTTCATTAGCGAGAAGTGTTTTTTGACGTTTTTCCATAGGTGTGCGTTGCTAGTGGTATCGGGCCAGTAGATCCTGTATATTTGTCTAAGGCAGCTCTTTACAAAGGTCTAAACTTTATCAGTGGTGGTCTTTGACGAACCTTAAGTCTCCGCTCCACTGATTTTACATTGGAGGCACACATGAGTGACCAAGGAATGCTCAGTGGAAGCCGAGGTTAACACACGGATATCCATTGTGCTTTATCTGCTCTTGCTTTGCAGATCGTTGCTATAGCTATTGCACCTGTTTCACCTTGATAGTCCACAAGACTACCTAATCTTTATTTTCTCCTGCATCTGTTGAGAGAAACGCGAGGTACAAGTCAACAAGTTGTTTGTACAGAGCAGGGGCGGAACTACAGTGTCGCCAGAACCCGCAATGCGGGGGGGGGGGGGGGGGGCACGCCATTTAGAGGCCCACAGCCGACCAGAATAATTTTTTTTCGTATTTAAAATTAAAAAAAAAAAATCTTTTATTTTTGACTTGATGTTTGTTTTGTAAAAAAAATTGCCGTAGCTGCGGTTGGATTATTTTTATTCTATAGATACCACCCCACGCTCTTTTTTTTAAACCACTGTGAAAGCCGAGTCCTCTTTCTCTTACAATCAAACTTATCAAAGATAAGCAAACGGTTTAACCACTTCCATGGGTTATTTCCCTTTTCTAAATAGTAAAATAGGGGTGCTCATAAGCTCCTTTTAATAGATTTGTATTAAACAAATAAAAAAACAATTATTTCTCTTAATTATTATTTTTTTATAAAGTTTTTCCTAAAGAATGACATCGTACAAAAATGAAATGAATTTAAAATTAATAATATAAATACAAAAAAACCCATAAAAATAAACATAACACGAGACACCATTACTTATACAAAACGTTCATGGTTGACCGACTAAGATGTCAAAAGATCTTATAGCAGAAAGAAATAAAACTGAATTCACAAAACACACTAATGTACTTATACACTCTGGTTTTTCTTCACATCGAGTAAATCTTTCGCCTTTTACTAAAGATTTCCGTGTTTCCTCAATTCAACGATGTCATCCTCCAGTACGATGACGAATGCAAAAATTATCACCGCCAGCAAAGGGGTTGCGCCCTTGATTGTTCCCTCTGAGTCGAGAGACCCGGAGAGGAGCCACCCGGACTACGGTTCGGGTGGCTTAATGAAATCCTGGGCCCAATCCTTTTCAGTCAAGACTACAGCAATCCTGAACCTACCTGAGGAAAAATGCCCAGACCTGTACCCAGCAGAAACACCCACTATTCAAATTCTGATCACATCAAAAGGTCAACCAAACCTGAGGGGCCACATCTTGAGACAACTAATCAGCAACCAGCAGATTCTTCTTCTAAATTATGGCAGAGCAGACACATGGTTTTTCACCTCTCAAGCCTTTGATGTTACCACGCTACACAACACACACAAAACTCACGGCCCATACACACTGCACTTCACACTACACGAAAAAAACAAGATCAATGGGAACCTTAGATGGGTACCCCCTACACTCAACAACGCCACTCTCATGCAAGCATTACAACCCTACAGCAACAAAGAACCATCCATAACAACGATCCCCCACACTAGTAACCGCAGCTTCACTATATACACCGACAACCCAACAACCATCCCACATTACATTCAACTAAATTACAAAAATAAATCACTGAACATTCTTATAGCAATTGCTGGAAGAAGGCAGGCGTGCGAATTCTGCTCCTCAACTCTACATTGGTCCAACCAATGCCAAGCTTTCAACCCAGAGTCAACGCCAAAGGAGCAACCTTCAGCACAAAATACTGCGCCACCTGCACCACAAGCTCCATCAGCAAGCAAAATCCAAAACTCTCCAACCAAGGACGCAGCAAAAGACCCAGAAACAGAAGCAACAGACCCGGATTCAGAAATAGAAACCGCTTCGTCAACAAAAAGGAAATATCAAACGAGTCCCACAAAACAAGGAAAAATAACTAAATAAAAAAAATCGAGAAACTAATCCACGATCACCTAACATGCAGCTTCTGCCCCAGCTCGTACCAAACATTTAAGGAAGTACTAAATCACGAAAGAACAGAACACACTTATCTCAAACAATGCTACTTCTGTAATGATGCAAAAACCCACAATGACTTACATCGACACTACACGGAAAAACACAACAGCGAAACTAACTTCAGTTGCTGCTTTTGTGATAAAAGCCTCCCAGAAAAAAAAAAAACATTCATCATCACGTATTAGCTCACCATTCAAATCTCTTGTCTCAGAAAAAAAGGGAGAGAGAAAGCCATAAGGTTAAAAAAAGTACAGTTTCACAGTTCAGAAGGGAAAGAAGTAGTCAATTAAAAATTTAAACGTTTTGTTATAATGGAAACTCAAAATTGTATGACATGCTTAACTATAATTGTATGCAATACTATGTATACTATGTATATTTTAAACATGCAACCTTTTCACACAGCTAGTTCCTAGGAGTGAACTGCGTGTAAGGAATTCTATTTAAAAAAACAAAAAACTAAAGATTTCCCTGGAGAGGAGCATTATAATGAGTCTTAGAAGACTATTTTTCACGCCCTACGCTGTAGGGTGGATATTTCCACATGAAATGATGTTGTAATTTGTTTTAATTTAATTGTTAATGTTTTTTTTTAATTAAAACCCGAACAGGCCAGCAATGAGTATCCTATGTTCGTATTCTGTTTGTATATATATATATATATATATATATATAGGCCTATATAATATATATATATAGGCCTATATAATATATTATATAGGCCTATATAATATATATGTAGGCCTATAAAATATATGTATAGAGCTATATAATATATATATAGGGGGGGGGGCTAAAAAAAATTGCGCGGTGGCCCTTTTTTTTGCTAGCTCCGCCACTGGTACAGAATCCACGGAATACCATTCACATGTTCTCAGGTTGTTCTTTTCATTATTCATTTATTCATTATTAATGGACTCCGGTTCGCTGCTGAAAGCCATTTGTTAGCTACACTCCACGGGCAACTCTACAGGACGTCCTCTCGTATGCGCTATAGATCAGGTTTAATTTTATCCTCGGAAATAGTAATTTTTATGGTGTATACTTTTTTTGTCAATTAGAAAACAAACACATGCCGCTGTTATGTGGCACAATTTAGAGAACAATCTAAGCTGAAAATATGTTATATATATATATATATACATATATATATATATATATATATATATATATATATATATACATATATATACATATATATATACATATATATACATATATATATATATATATATATATATATATATATATATATATATATATATATATATATATATATATATATATAATTATATATATATTCATAATAACAAGCTTTCTGTTTGGGAACATGCTAGTACAAGGCTCGCCCTTTTGACATTAAAGTTATCTTCAGTCTAGCGTGACGTCTTCACCCTCCATGTGTCTTGAAAAGTAGAGCGTGTTTATTCAAATGTCACAACGAGTAGATTTCAAAGGGACATTCGTAGTTCTCTAATAAAAATTTGTGATGTCGATTCGTAGGGCAATAGAAAAGATGTCTAAAGCAGTGCAGGTAATTTCGTATAAACTATACGAACTACGCCTCCCACAGCTATGGCTAAAGAAAATAGTAGTGTTATGGCAAAAATGATATAATTATTTTTTGTCTAGCCTAAAACGATAATTTTGTGTGCTGACGAAAACGTTTGGTTGGAACGTCCACCGTACCAATAATTTTTACTTAAATATTTGAGGATAATGATACTATCTTTTTTATTACCACTATTGAAGAACAAATGAACAACTTTTCCTATAAAAATAAATTGTATGATCGTTTCTCTCAGAGACGTGCGCCCAACATATTCAGATGCCATGTAAACACACTCTAAAATGACAAAATGACATTCATATACCGCTGGGGGGTCATCCATAAATGACGTCAGACGTTTTTGACGATTTTACCTCCCCTCCCCCTCCCTTCCGTCACACGTCGTCTTAAAAAGCAACACACCCCCACCCAAAATGACGTTATACCTCAGCCCCTACCCCCCCCCCTCAAAACTGTGGTTG